TTATTGTTTAACAAGCTCCGTTGGACTTTTGTCCAATTTCATAAACATTTGTGTAATTTTTTAAACATAATATACACGAGCTTATTGTTGAACAAGCTCCTTTTGACTTTTGTCCAATTTTAGAAACATTTGTTTAATTTTCTAAACATAATATATACACGAGCTTATTGTTTAACAAGCTCCGTTGAACAATTGTCTAATTTTATAAACATTTGTTTAATTTTAAACATAATATATACACGAGCTCATTCTTTAACAAGCTCCTTTGGACTTTTGACCAATTTTTAAACATAACAAATACACGAGCTTATCGTTTAACAAGCTCCGTTGGACTTTTGTCCAATTTCATAAACATTTGTGTAATTTTTTAAACATAACATACACGAGCTTATTGTTGAACAAGCTCCTTTTGACTTTTGTCCAATTTTAGAAACATTTGTTTAATTTTTTAAACAAAATATATACACGAGCTTATTGTTTAACAAGCTCCGTTGAACAATTGTCTAATTTTATAAACATTTGTTTAATTTTAAACATAATATATACACGAGCTCATTATTTAACAAGCTCCTTTGGACTTTTGACCAATTTTTAAACATAACAAATACACGAGCTTATTGTTTAACAAGCTCCGTTGGACTTTTGTCCAATTTCATAAACATTTGTGTAATTTTTTAAACATAATATACACGAGCTTATTGTTGAACAAGCTCCTTTTGACTTTTGTCCAATTTTAGAAACATTTGTTTAATTTTCTAAACATAATATATACACGAGCTTATTGTTTAACAAGCTCCGTTGAACAATTGTCTAATTTTATAAACATTTGTTTAATTTTAAACATAATATATACACGAGCTCATTATTTAACAAGCTCCTTTGGACTTTTGACCAATTTTTAAACATAACAAATACACGAGCTTATCGTTTAACAAGCTCCGTTGGACTTTTGTCCAATTTCATAAACATTTGTGTAATTTTTTAAACATAATATACACGAGCTTATTGTTGAACAAGCTCCGTTGGAATTTTGTCCAATTTTAGAAACATTTGTTCAATTTTTTAAACATCATATATACACGAGCTTATTGTTTAACAAGCTCCGTTGAACAATTGTCCAATTTTATAAACATTTGTTTAATTTTAAACATAATATATACACGAGCTCATTATTTAACAAGCTCCTTTGGACTTTTGACCAATTTTTAAACATAACAAATACACGAGCTTATTGTTTAACAAGCTCCGTTGGACTTTTGTCCAATTTCATAAACATTTGTGTAATTTTTTAAACATAATATACACGAGCTTATTGTTGAACAAGCTCCGTTGGACTTTTGTCCAATTTTAGAAACATTTGTTTAATTTTTTAAACATAATATATACACGAGCTTATTGTTTAACAAGCTCCGTTGAACAATTGTCTAATTTTATAAACATTTGTTTAATTTTAAACATAATATATACACGAGCTCATTATTTAACAAGCTCATTTGGACTTTTGACCAATTTTTAAACATAACAAATACACGAGCTTATTGTTTAACAAGCTCCGTTGGACTTTTGTCCAATTTCATAAACATTTGTGTAATTTTTTAAACATAATATACACGAGCTTATTGTTGAACAAGCTCCTTTTGACTTTTGTCCAATTTTAGAAACATTTGTTTAATTTTCTAAACATAATATATACACGAGATTATTGTTTAACAAGCTCCGTTGAACAATTGTCTAATTTTATAAACATTTGTTTAATTTTAAACATAATATATACACGAGCTCATTATTTAACAAGCTCCTTTGGACTTTTGACCAATTTTTAAACATAACAAATACACGAGCTTATCGTTTAACAAGCTCCGTTGGACTTTTGTCCAATTTCATAAACATTTGTGTAATTTTTTAAACATAATATACACGAGCTTATTGTTGAACAAGCTCCTTTTGACTTTTGTCCAATTTTAGAAACATTTGTTTAATTTTCTAAACATAATATATACACGAGCTTATTGTTTAACAAGCTCCGTTGAACAATTGTCTAATTTTATAAACATTTGTTTAATTTTAAACATAATATATACACGAGCTCATTATTTAACAAGCTCCTTTGGACTTTTGACCAATTTTTAAACATAACAAATACACGAGCTTATCGTTTAACAAGCTCCGTTGGACTTTTGTCCAATTTCATAAACATTTGTGTAATTTTTTAAACATAATATACACGAGCTTATTGTTGAACAAGCTCCGTTGGAATTTTGTCCAATTTTAGAAACATTTGTTCAATTTTTTAAACATCATATATACACGAGCTTATTGTTTAACAAGCTCCGTTGAACAATTGTCCAATTTTATAAACATTTGTTTAATTTTAAACACAATATATACACGAGCTCATTATTTAACAAGCTCCTTTGGACTTTTGACCAATTTTTAAACATAACAAATACACGAGCTTATTGTTTAACAAGCTCCGTTGGACTTTTGTCCAATTTCATAAACATTTGTGTAATTTTTTAAACATAATATACACGAGCTTATTGTTGAACAAGCTCCTTTTGACTTTTGTCCAATTTTAGAAACATTTGTTTAATTTTCTAAACATAATATATACACGAGCTTATTGTTTAACAAGCTCCGTTGAACAATTGTCTAATTTTATAAACATTTGTTTAATTTTAAACATAATATATACACGAGCTCATTATTTAACAAGCTCCTTTGGACTTTTGACCAATTTTTAAACATAACAAATACACGAGCTTATCGTTTAACAAGCTCCGTTGGACTTTTGTCCAATTTCATAAACATTTGTGTAATTTTTTAAACATAATATACACGAGCTTATTGTTGAACAAGCTCCGTTGGAATTTTGTCCAATTTTAGAAACATTTGTTCAATTTTTTAAACATCATATATACACGAGCTTATTGTTTAACAAGCTCCGTTGAACAATTGTCCAATTTTATAAACATTTGTTTAATTTTAAACACAATATATACACGAGCTCATTATTTAACAAGCTCCTTTGGACTTTTGACCAATTTTTAAACATAACACATACACGAGCTTATTGTTTAACAAGCTCCGTTGGACTTTTGTCCAATTTCATAAACATTTGTGTAATTTTTTAAACATAATATACACGAGCTTATTGTTGAACAAGCTCCGTTGGAATCTTGTCCAATTTTAGAAACATTTGTTCAATTTTTTAAACATAATATATACACGAGCTTATTGTTTAACAAGCTCCGTTGAACAATTGTCCAATTTTATAAACATTTGTTTAATTTTAAACATAATATATACACGAGCTCATTATTTAACAAGCTCCTTTGGACTTTTGACCAATTTTTAAACATAACAAATACACGAGCTTATCGTTTAACAAGCTCCGTTGGACTTTTGTCCAATTTTATAAACATTTGTTTAATTTTCAAACACGAGCTTATTATTTAACAAGCTCCTTTGGACTTTTGACCAATTTTCAAACATAACAAATGCACCAGCTTATTGTTTTTAACAAGCTCTGTTGGACTTTGTCCAATTTTTTAATTAAAAATGCACATTTTTTTTTTTTTTTTTAAATTTCTAAATATTTTATTTTACTTACTTCTGTTATGATCAGGACCTTTCCTGGAATGCACTTTTCACGATGCCTTACATACACAAAATACGATAGCACTCAGATTATAACATCAAATTTATCCTCGTCGCCAATGTATTGTTCTTGATTTTCGTAATAAAACTCCTTTGTTCAATCTCAATAATTCTTTAATTCAATCATTACCTATCGCTAATCGTATATCGACCGAGCTCACCTTTTCAGATGTTTATCTTGTGTTTATACAAAGTAATATAAATATTTATGATTTAAATTCCAATTAGTCTAGGAAAATAGTCGAAAAATACATGCATTGCAAAAAAAAACTACCCCTATTGAAAAACGGCAGGGGGTGAGTAAAAACTTCATAAAGCAAAAATGTTGTATGTGTTGTAGAAAATTTTTTCACGTTGGTTAAAATTTTTGATTTTCATTATGAAATTTCAAACGGCCCTTTTGACCACAGACGGCCCTTAATCAGAAAAGTATTAGATAAACATTGTAGATCAAATAATGTTGCACATCTTTTATTTGAAACATTTTTTTGTAAAATCGATAGGTACCAAGTAATCGCCAATGGCGCACTTTCAACCCCTATAGCACAAAACGCCAGAGAGTTGAATGTTTGATATTTTCGGTTTTATGATCACCCACCCTCCCCCTATCATCTCTAAAAAGTTCTTTTGGGTAGGATTTTTTTTTTGAAAATCAACAATTTTCCTAGACTAAATACACTACAGATCTAAATAGCAAAAATCACTTTCACACATCGTCATTATCCACAGCTGGTGTCTGATATAATTTTGAAGTGTTTCTTGAAACACCCTCCTATGTGTCAAGCCCAAGCCATACAAAATATCTTGAACCATCAACAGAAACAAAGACAGAAGTAGAATAAAAATCGATACATACATAAAGATTTATATGGTCCTAGGAACATAATGGATCACTTCTAGTGGAATATTGAAGACAATAAAGTTCAAATTAGGGACCGCTTCAAGATACCTGAATAAAATTTCACCATCACTTCACCACAGTAAACAAGTCCCAAAAAAGTATAAATCTGAATCTGTGAAAATAAATTATTTAACTCGTTACATCACATGAAGATTAATATAGGAAATGCGACGTAAAAAATATCCTATTGTTTACATTTGAATTACTTAATCATTTTAATTGATATTTATAAATAATTTCCCAGTTCAGGATCAAGAATAATCATCGTTCCCATGCCATACTTGGCCATTTCCTATACGTAGTTATAATTATAAAATGAAATCACTTTCCCTGACATCGAGGAACAATCGATGAAAGGCGAAATTCTACAATCCTTCCTTTTTCACTGTAGGTATAAGATTGCTAACAAATAATCTTAAATTATTTTATTGTTTTCCAGATGAGTTCAGAATGATTATTCGGTGGCCTCTAGTTTTTGGACTGTTGCTCTGTTGTATTGCCAGTGTCACTTGCAGAAATAAAGGTAAGATTTAAATAATTTGCTAAATTTTTTGATCCACGAATAATATATATTTCATAATAAATATTACTCTACCGTTTAATTAAGAAATTATTAGCTAATCCAATAATGAATAGTAGTAGGTAGGTTAGGTGTTGTTTTGATTTTGCAAAATAATCCATAAGCCTATGTCATTTCTTAAATAAGGCATCAATATTAATAATTCATTCTCGTAGTTAATTATAGCTCTTTGTGATTGATTATTTATTTTGAATGGATCGAATTGAATAAATCTTACCTACCATAATAATTGCGGTTTTAGATGATTAATAATGAGCATCACAGCTTTGATGTTGAAAGATCAAACTCATAAAGTCTCAATTATTAACTACAACAATTTGAAAAACACTCACATCCTTTTTAGTGTGTGAATTAGCAAATATGTAGATACCCAGTCTTGCAGGATGCAAATTTGCTTCAAAACATACCAACACAAAATTCTACTTTTATTTTTCATGTAAATTTAATCCGGCTAAAGAATACCGGTTTTGGTTAAATCAATGGCAAACTTCCTGGGCACAAGATGGTAAGTATATTATTATCTGATGGATGGTGACTCAGTGACCCAGTGGCTTCGCTTTATACGGACCGAGTTTAGTACCGGCTGATGGTTTTCTTAGTCGTTCGCTTCCGCGTTGATAACGGTATTTGGTGTAACCCAGTCGGAAGAAACTTAATTATCATTATTTATATTGTTTTTATTTGACAAATAATGACTTCTTTTAAAATGTATTTAGCTTGTGAATGAAAAAACGAAATGTCTGAACATGCGTTATAGGTCAGGCTATTAACATATCAAAACGCTATTGCTTTTTTTGCACGTCCAATCTAGGTCTAGACCGACTTTATATACTTGAAACTTGAAACACTTTCTTTTATTGTTTACTTATTAGTCAGTAGACCTAATTCGCAAGATTTTTTTCGTTTGTATTGAAGCTTTGGTTCTGATTTCTTCTCAATTTTCAGTCATAGCTTTAATTCGCCTAGGTTTGTTTTTTTTTGGTGATCTTCCAGATCCGGCAATTTTTGTTTTTTTTGGTTCTTTGAAGTTTTACTATTCTAGCTTCATCTGCTTCAGAAACAGAAAAGTTATAGGCTGCATGGCATTAATTTGGTTCATTTAGAATTTTTTCAGAAAAAGTTGAGATGTTCGAGCCATTGGCTCCTTTCAAATCTCCGGGACCAGATGGGGTTTTTCCCGGCTCTGTTGCATAATGGTTTGGAATTGTTACGCAAGCCTCTGTAGTCTGCTTGTATTGTACAATTCAGCCTCTATCCTACCGTACTTTCAATGGGATCTCTGATGGAATGATGACGCACATCTGTATGCTTGGAAAGTTTATTAAAAAATGGATTAAACGAAAGCTTTAGTGCACTTTGGTTATCACTATATAAAATAACATTATCAAAAGAACCAACTAATTCATGCCACAAATTTCTGAGGTAAATCGCCTCTTTTGCTGCCTCTGATAAGGCCATATACTAGAGCAGACGCTACAAGTAGTAAAGTATTCAAAATGTGAGGACCGACAAAAATGCTCAAATTCGTAAGTATTCTATTCCTAGTTCCATTTGAAAAACAGTTCATCCATGGCGTAACTTTCTGGTTTTTAGTTCAAATACCTTTTTTGAATTCTTCAGGAAAAAATAGGCCAATTGGCTATTTTGAATTTTTTCAAAACTACACGAACATTGAAGGTCAAAAATAAGCCCCTGTTCAGTCATCGTTGAAGGCTATTTTCCCAGCACTCGTATAGGATAGTTTAAGGATTCCCTAATGGTAAGGCATCCTTAGCGGTAGCTTTTCGTTTGCTTTGCTCGTTAGTTGCCCCTTAAGGACTCCTTAACTTAAGTGGCCAAATTTGACGTCTTAAGTTTATAAAGTAGAGAATTCTAACCTCAAAATTTAATTTGGCATTTTTGGTTTAGCATGTTTGTTTGAATCTATTTGTCAAATTGGATTATTGCCTCAAAAAAATGGAATTTTTGAACGAAGATTTAGATTTTTTTCGATATTATCTAAAATGGATTTCCATGAAAAACTTATGATAGAGCTATTTACTGGATGGACAATTTACTTATTTTTTTAACAGGTTTCGGTCGAGGAATGAGACCATACAAAACAATATTCCTTAGATTGCGGATCAATTGGAAATGGATGAAGGTATAGATGTTAATTTAACATAATAGGTTCACAGTTCACGTTCACATACCATACAGTATTAATGAGGTTTGAAAGTTATATTTTTTGCCAAGCTGTCGTCATCCTGATGTACTTTGTATTCAAAAACACTACGAAGAAACCAGGGCATCCAAGGACATACTCCTATTATTAATTTCTTTTGAAGGGACAATACAGACAGACCATTTTAAACCAGCTACTCACAACTTTACGGTTTTAAGCGACAGGGGGTCATCAAATGTTGCAGATTTTATAGGAATGTATACCAGACAGTATCTAGAATAGTGAAAAGCACATCTGACATCTGAATCATTCGCTTCAGCCTGTAGAGTTAATAGTTGGGGACCTGGCGTCAAAAACATGCAAGAGTTTTCGCAAGGCGGATATTTTCAAAATAGGTCGTACTTTAGTGCTAGAATGCTAGTGTACAGTCAGCACTCACAGTTCCGGGACAGCTGGCTCTGGGACGCGGGCAAAGTTGTGATTTTAAGAAGCATCTAAACTGTTTTCTCAAAGCTCAAAATTTATAGAAATTTTGCACATTATCTGTTTGAAGGTCACAGATAACGTATGTAAATCGTCAGACGTCTAGTTCGTTGCAAAAAGGGAGTCAGACGTCCTCAAAGTTTTTATTTTATGGCATTTTCTTCGGTGTCCTGTCAAAATATATTTTTGCAAGTATTTGACAAATATAGTTGAAGAAAATGCCATAAAATAAAAACTTTAAGGACGTCTGACCCCCTTTTTGCAACGAACTAGACGTCTGACTATTTACATACGTTATCTGTGACCTTCAAACAGATAATGTGCAAAATTTCTATAAATTTTGAGCTTTGAGAAAACAGTTTAGATGCTTCTTAAAATCACAACTTTGCCCGCGTCCCAGAGCCAGCTGTCCCGGAACTGTGAGTGCTAACTGTACACTAGCATTCTAGCACTAAAGTACGACCTATTTTGAAAATATCCGCCTTGCGAAAACTCTTGCATGTTTTTGGCGCCACCTCCTGGACTAGAACAAATATCAACATCAACAAGAAATATAAACGAAAATTATGATTATTTTCGACGTTCTTTTGACAGAAATGCAACGCTGCCAGACCGTATTTTTTCTTTATTAAGGGTTGATCCTAAGGGCCACAAGTCTTGAGGGCTACTTAAAATATGAGTATACCTTAACTATTCCTTACTTAAGGCAATTGCTGGGAAAACGGCCATTAGGTACAATCAATAGGAATTATTATAAAATAACTTGAAAATGTGATATTTTCAATATAACTTTGCATTGGAAGATGGCAGGAGAGTTAGGGACCACTCTAGCTGCCGACAAGATGTACTTTTCCATTCTTTAGGATCCCAGGAATACGAATTTGAGCATTTTTGTCTGTCCTCACTTTTTGCATACTCAACTACTTAAAATCTGTTTTTTTTTAAAGATAATTCCCCAAGTCAAAAATTTAGTAACTATGTTGGCAACACAAGCCTTTTCTACATAAAAAATTTGAAAGCATTGACAATTTTACATTGTATTGCCAACGGAATGTCATTTTGACTTTTATCTTTAAAAAAAAACAGACTTTATAACGTCTGCTCTATATCCCCTTTTCAAATTTGGGGGGTTTATTCTTCCTTTAGCTAGGGGGTTGACGCTACGGGGATGAAAAAAACTGAAAAATGTTTCCCCTTCAAATCAAAAATCGACGTGTCCGAGCGTTTTTCCAAATTCTCATCCCAAATACAATAAATCGAGGTGGACTGTTTTCCCTGGGACACCCTATATATTAACTTTCTGATATTTTTTGTTAATCTAAGTACATGTTGATCCCACCATTTTAGATGATGGTCAATTTAAATTCCCAAATATTTTGTGTGACTAACTTGAGCTATTATGTCTATCAAGGCTGTCAATGTACAAACGGTCAAAGTCTGGTCGGTTTGCAGATGTTAGTGAAAATGCAATGTAGTTAGTTTTTGAGTCATTCAGTGATAATTTAAAAGAGTCCAACCAGTGCTTTATTTTACTTATGCCATCAATTGCCAAGTCTCTGACCGAGTCCCATGTTTCTCCAGAGAAAAACAACAGCAGTGTCGTCAGCATATAATATTACTGTGGAAAACCGATCTTGACATTAAGTGGGTCGCTTATTGTACCTCCAACTCTAACAGACTGTGTTCTGTCTCTGAAGTAGTTAGCGAAGACATCCAGCACAATGTCCCGAACTCCATAAGATTCTAACACCAGAAGAAGCAAATTATGAGGCACCGTGTCAAATGCCTTCACCAAATCCAGGAAAATGGCGAGACACTTTTTTCTACTGTTCTTATTGCTTGTAACCTACCTACACAATTCACAAACTGTATCTGTTGTATTAAGTTCATTCAAAAAGCCAAACTGTCTCTCAGATAAGATTTTATTATGGTCAAAAAATTTCACACAACGATCTTTTAGGCATTTTTCTTAAATCTTAGAGAAGGAATTAATGATGCTTAGGACGATAGTTGCCTATATTACTTTGGTCTCCGGACTTGTGAATAGGTATAACAAGTGATGTCACTTTAAAAGCTTCAGGCACTTTAGCCGTACGAAAAATTATATTAATGATGTGTGCAAGTGGAGAAGCAATATACAGGGTGTCCCAGGGAAAACAGTCCACCCCGATTTATTGCATTTGGGATGAGAATCTGGAAAAACGCTCGGACACGTCGATTTTTGATTTGAGGGGGAACTATTTTTCAGTTTTTCTCATTCCCGTAGCTTCAACCCCCTAGCTAGGGGGAGAACAAC